AAAAAGAATTGGTCGACGTTCAACCACTTCAGGAGGTAACATATGATCAGGAACCGATCGTATTGAAGGAAGAAGTCCAAGCTACACTGAAGGCACTGGTGAAAAACAAGTCTCCAGTATTTGACGGAATACCAATTGAGATGTTTCAACAAACAGATTCAGCGCTGGAAGCGCTCACTCATCTATGCCAAGAAATTTGGAAGGCAGCTGCTTGGCCAATCAACTGGAAGATACCCATATTCATGCCTATTCCCAAGAAAGGCAATCCAACTGAATGAGAAAATTATCAAACAATATCATTAATATCACATGCAAGCAAAATCTTGTTAAAGATCATTCAAAAGCAGCTGCAGCAGTGTATCAACAGGGACTTGCCAGAAATTCAAGCCAGATTTAGAAGAGGACGTGGAACCAGGGATATGACTGCTGATGTCAGATGGATCCTGGCTGAAAGCAGAGAATACCACAAAGATGTTTACCTGTGTTTTACTGACTATGCTAAGGCATTCAACTGTGTGGATCATAACAAATTACGGATAACATTGCAGAGAATGGGAATTCCAGAACATTTAACTGTGCTCATGACGAATCTGTACTCGGATCAAGAGGCAGTCGTTGGAATAGAACAAGGGGATACTGCATGGTTTAAAGTCAGGAAAGGTGTGTATCAGGGTTACATCCTTTCACCATACCTATTCAATCTGAATGCTGAGTAAATAATCCGAGAACCTGACTATATGAAGAAGAACGAGGCATTAGGATTGGTGGAAGACTCATTAACAACCTGTGTTATGCAGATGATACAACCTTGCTTGCTGAAGTGAAGAGGACTTGAAGCACTTATTGATGAAGATCAAAGACCACAACCTTCAGTATGCATTACACCTCAACAAAAAGAGAACAAAAATTCTCACAACTGGACCAATAAGCAACATCATGATAAACAGAGAAAAGATTGAGGTTGTCAAGGATTTCATTTTACTTGGATCCACAATCAACGCCCATGACAGCAGCAGTCAAGAAATCAAAAGACACATTGCATTGGGCAAACCAGCTGCGAAAGACTTCACTGAAGTATTAAAAAGCAAAGAAGTCACCTTGAGGACTAAGGTCCACCTGACCCACGCCATGGTGTTTTCTATCGCCTCATATGCACGGGAAAGCTGGACAATGAATAAGGAAGACCTAAGAAGAACTGATGCCTTTGAATTGTGGTGTTGTCAAAGAATATTGAATATACCACAGACTGCCAAAAGAACAAACAAATCTGTCTTGGAAGAAACAGAACCAGAATGCTCCTTAGAAGCCAGGAAGGTGAGACTACATCTCACATACTTCAGACATCTTACCAAGAGGGATCAGTCCCTGGAGAAGGACATCATGCTTGGTAAAGTAGAGGGTCAGTGAAAAAGAGGAAGACCCTCAAAGAGTCGGATTGACACAGTGGCTGCAACAATGGGCTCAAGCATAGCAACAATTGTGAGGATGGCGTAGGACCAGGCAGTGTTTTGTTCTTTTGTGCACAGGGTCGCTGTGAGTTGGAGCTGACTCAACGGCACCTAACAACAATAACATAGGAACATAAAGTAGACAAACAGTTGCTACAGTTGAGGGGGAGGACAGTGACTGGGAACGGGTATGAGGTTTCTTACTGGAGTGATGACAGCGTACTAAAGTCATTGTGATGGCACACTCTGTGAATATACTAAAAACTACTGAACTGAATACTTTAAAATGCGTGAAATTTATGGTAGGCAAATTGTATCTCAATAAAGCTGTACGGCCCTTGCTCTCAAAAAGTTGAGAGGTTCTGAGTTAGAAAAACATGCACCAAGACATATGACCTTGGATCTGGGACTTCATCTTCCCCTGTGAAGGAAGCTGGTAAAATTGAACGAAAAAATGATAGTCACTTTTACAAGACTTTATTTTACACCAACAATTCAATTTAGGGAAAGACAGAGGGACTGACTGATGTCACATCCATTCAAAGGACAGCAAAGGTAGTTTAAAACTAAAAGAAGAAAGACATTGCTTAACAATTCATGTTTACCTCTTTTTCCTTAATTAAAGCTTCATGTTTTTCTTCAAGTCGCTTCATTTCAAAAGCTAGCGTGTCTGCCCTTTTGGATTCCGAGGAAAGTTTAATGTGAAGATCTTGAACCTTTTGTCAAAAATAAAAGTAAAATTCAGCAAAATAAGGTTCCAACAAAACCTTAGTAAGTCGGTTCTGATGTAAGCTGGATGTCTTCTATTTTTTTTTTTTTTTTAGTTTTCATTATTATTGTCTTTTATTATTAGTATGTTTATAAATCTGATCTTTGTCTTTAGGGGTTGGAAAAATTACATACAAACTTACAGATACATTTTAAAACTGTATGTAGTACATATTACTAATAATAATACGATGTAAAAAAATATAATAAACAGACTTTCGTAAATACGGTTTGTCGTAATTCGAACACATCGTAAGTTGGGAACTACCTGCAATATTGATATTTAATTTTTCAGAGTTGAGTAAATGAGGAACTGACATGGAAATAAGATATTTATGCTAAGATTACAGTTAAATTCTAAATATTTGTGGAAAGTAGTGTATAAATAAGAAAAATTAGTATAAATTTTAAAGTACTCAAATGATAATTTAGTCAAAAATACCAGCCTCCTACTCTAATGTTTCTCTAGGTTGTATGATAAATGGCAAAACAATATGCTAGTGTAGAGCTCCATTTTTAATGCGTTTACCACGGGTTACCTGAAATGCTAATAAATAGTACAGTGTCAAAAAAAAAAATACACAAGCTCAGAAGGCAATAGAAAGGTAAACGACTAATATAATTCAAACGCAATTATCAAAATTTGAATTAAAATTACAAATAAATATTTAATAATATTAACTTCACAGCTGACTATATATAATGCTTCTGGAGTTTTATATCATTCTTGAAGGATGAAATAGAAAAACAAAGTTGAGATCTTTCTATGTTATCGATTACAATTTTTTCTTACCTGCCTTTTATATGTTTCTAATTGTGTACGTGCTGCATTGGCCTTCTTTAATTCTTCTTCTAAGCTGACTGTATTATGCATATACATCATGTTCGTTTCTTGTAAAGTTTTCACTTGCTTGCGAAGGTCATTCAGATCTTGTAGTTTCTGACGATATATTTCAACTGTTGACTCCAGTTTACTTGCTTTATCAGAGGTAGCCCTATAATAATAAAAACCAAACATTATTACATAACAACCAGTAAACAGACATAACAATTTATTCAGGCTATAAAATGAATCTTCCAAACAAACTATCAATTAGCTATAGCAAAAAAAGAAAGAGAACTGGAAACTCCAAACTTAGCAAGAACTTTGGAAACTCAGGCCTAAAAACAGTGGAAAGTTCAATCTTTTTGTTATAAAGACACTAAAATAAGAATACTCCTAATTTGACATGCCAAATTATCGAACTATTTTATTTACTAGCACATTGTATTAAAAAAAAATGGTTTTGTAAATACAACTGAGTGTCTCTGAACGCCTCCGTAGCTTATGGGCCAACCTTGCTTTGTGCGTGTCATTTAGTATAATTTTATTCTAGGTATTTGATATACTTACGAAGTTGATTCAACTTATAAATTTGATTGTCAACAAAAAATACTTCCCTTAAGAGTTGTGGTTACCTTACCAATGGAGCTGGGGGAAAAAAAACCCAAACAAACAAACCAAATCACTTCAAATCACATGCAGATGCAAATGGTTATAAAGATTTTCTTCCCAAAATGGCATTAAAACTGCAAAAGAAATTGCTAATTAATAAAAATTAACAGAAAATGCGAAGATCATGTGGATAATATGTTTGCTTGAGTAATATTTCACAAAACTGTGAAAGACAATTCTCCCTGAAATAAATATTAGGATTCTTACCTATAGTTTTCTATATTTTGTCAAATGCCAAAATATCGATTGTGAGAATTCATTTCTTTACACAATACTTCACAAAATATACTAATGACTACAGGGATGCCAAGGTAAATATATCTGAAAGTAACTCAGCTACAAAAGTCTAAGAAAAAAGGTATCATTTTGGGTTTATGGGTTCTAGTAAGAAAATGTCTAAACAAGAACAGAATCTTATCCTCAAACTGCAATTACTAGAGGCAAGCATAAAAGAAGTAGAAACTAAGAGTTCAGATCAAAACTGATCAAACTTGATATACCAGTGATAACCCTAAGAATCCCTAATTAAAATATAGAATACCCAAATTTACTAAGCAATAACTTAGAAGCGACATAATTATATTTAGACACGCCATACCTAAGAACATCTATTTCATCTTTCAGGGCTCTTGTTTCTTCAGCAAGATTAGTCAATTCATCATTCCTATGTTGAAATTCAATTAGTTGCTTTTCAAGCTCTTCACAGTGAACACGGTAATCATCTTTTGCAGCTTCAAGCCTTACATAAAGAAAACAAATAAGAATAATGTAATTTACATTGCTTTTTCCCCAACAGAAACATGGGCTTACTAAGGAAGATACACTTTTAAAATGTTACTTAAAATTCTACATTCAAAAGAAGAAAGACTAAAGAAATAGACTTTTGGGTTCTTGGTTTTGAAACAGACTTGAGAAGTAAACTTAATGTTTTGAATTTTCATTTTCTGAAATACTGTGCTTAGTTTTATCTCAACTGCTAACAGAAATTTTAATTTCCAATTAGGAAGATAAAATGCGTAAGATACATAATGAAAACTACTCAAACATACACACAAGATGTAAAATGGTGAAATGTTAATTCTAAGTAGACTGTGATAAATTAAGAATGAATACTTCAAACCCTATAGCAACAAAAAAAACTAATAATTAAAATCAAATACTAAAAAAGTATTTGACTAACCCAAAAGAAAGCAGGAAAGGAAGAACAAAAGAGCACATGGGCAAAATGAAAAAATTAACAACAAAATGATAAACCTAAATGAAACTATAACAATAATTATATAAAGGGATAAACTGACTGAATATTGCAATTAAAAGGAAGATAACAGACTGTATAAAAACTAAAGCTCAAATATAGAGATATTTCAGATTTACAAAAGTGTTAATTCATCAGAAAGACATTATAATAAGTGTAGTTACATAGTAACAGCTTCAAAATATATGAAGCAAAAATTGATAGAACCAAAGGTAGAAACACACAAAGATTTAATACCAGTCTCTCAATATTGATGGAACTAAGGAGCAATGGTTAAGCACTCGGCTGCTAACCAAAAGGTTGGCAGTTTGAATCCACCCAGCAGCTTCATGGGAGGAAGACATGGTAATCTGCTCCCATAAAGATTAAAGTCCAGAAAACCCTATGGGGCAGTTCTACTCTGCTACATGGGGTCACTATGAGTAAGAAACAACTCGATGGCAACTAAAACCAGCAAAATATAGAAGAGATATGAACATTATTAACCAATTTGATATAACTGACATTTATAAACACTTCAGCCAACAACTGCAAGATACATATTCTTTACAAATGTACATGGAACATTCATCATAATGAAACATATGATGAGCCATAAAATAAGCATGTTTTGAAAAAGATAAAAATAATAAACCTCTAGGAAGAGTGGAGCTCTGGTGGCACAGTGGTTAAGAGATCTCTGCTACTAACCAAAAGGTCAGCAGTTTGAACCCAACAGCCACTCCCTGGAAACTCTATGGGGCAGTACTACTCTGTCCTATAGGGTTGCTATGAGTTGGAATCGACTCAACAGCAATGGGTTTTGGTTTCTAGGAGTAACCACCAAGCATCTGTCGATTTGTTGTACTGTGATGGCTTCTGTGTTGCTCTGATACTGGAAAACAAGTCCACAAGAGCCAAAATATGACCTTGAGTATATCCCACCTGAATTTGGAGAGCATCTCAAGAATAGCTCTAATGCATTGAAAATTAATGACTGAAGACCAGATGAGTTGTGGTAACACATCAAGGACATCATACTTGAAGAAAGCAAAAGGTCATTAAAAAGACAGGAACGAAAGAAAAGACCAAAATGGGTATCAGAAGAGACTCTGAAACTTGCTCTTGAATATTGAGTAGCTAAAGCAAATGGAAGAACTGATGAAGTAAAAGAGCTAAACAGAAGATTTCAAAGGGCAGCTTGAGAAGACAAAGTAAAATATTATAATGAATGTGCAAAGACCTGGAGACAGAAAACCAAAAGGGAAGAACATGCTTGGCATTTCTCAAGCTGAAAGAACTGAAGAAAAAATTCAAGCATGGTGCTGCTATACTGAAGGACTCTACGGGGAAAATACTAAACAACAAAGGAAGCATTAAAAGAAGATGGAAGGAACACACGGAGTCACTGTACCAGAAAGAATTGGTCAACGCTCAACCATTTCGGGAGGCAGCATATGATCAAGAACCACTGGTACCAAAGGAAGAAGTCCAAGCTGCACTGAAGGCACTGGTGAAAAACAAGGCTCCAAGAACTGAAAGAATAACAATGAGATGTTTCAACAAATGGATGCAGCACTGCAGGTACTCACTCGTCTATGTCAAGAAATTTGGAAGATAGCTACCTGGCCAACAGACTGGAAGAGATCCATATTTGTGCCCACTCCAAAGAAAGGTGATCCAACTGAATGCAGAAATTATCAAATAGTATCATTAATATCACACACAAGTAAAATTTTGCTGATTATTCAAAAGCAGCTGCAGCAGTATATCAACAGGGAACTGCCAGAAATTCAAGCTGGATTTAGAAGAGGATGTGGAACAAGGGATATCATTGCTGATGTCAGATGGATCTTGGCTGAAAGCAGAGAATACCAGAAAGATGTCTACCTGTGTTTTATTGACTATGCAAAGGGATTTGCTTGTTTGGATCATAACAAATTATGGGTAACATTGCAAAGAATGGGAATTCTAGAACACTTAATTGTGCTCATGTGGAACCTGTTCTTAGATCAACAGGTAGTCACTGAAACAGAGCAAGGTGATACTGCATGGTTTAAAAATCAAGAAAAGCGTGCATCACAGTTGTATCCTTTCACCACACTTAGTCTATCTGAATGCTAAGCAAATAATCCAAGAAGCTGGACTGTATGAAGAAGAATGTGGTATCAGGACTGGTGGAAGACTCATTAACAACCTGCGATCTGCAGATAATACAACCTTGCTTGCTGAAAGTGAAGAGGATTTGAAGCACTTACTGATGAAGATCAAAGACTATAGCCTTCAATATGGATTACACCTCAACATAAGAAAACAAAAATCCTCACAACAGGACCAATAAGCAACATTATGATAAATGGAGAAAAGACTGACATTGTCAAGGGTATCACTTTACTTGGATCCGCAATCAACAGCCATGGAAGCAGCAACAGTCAGGAAATCAAATCACGTATTGCATAGGGCAAATCTGCTGCAAAAGACCTCTTCAAAGTGTTAAAAAGCAAAGGTGTCACTCTGGGGACTAAGGTGCGCCTGACCCAAGCCTTGATATTTTCAATTGCTTCATATGCTTGTGAAAGCTGGACAATGAATAAGGAAGATCGAAGAATTGATGCCTTTGAATTATGGTGTTGGCAAGGAATACTGAATATACCACGGAATGCCAGAAGAACAAACAAATCTGTCTTGGAAGAAGTACATCCAGAGTGCTCCTTGGAAGCGATGATGGCAAGACTTTGTCTCACATACTTTGGACTTATTATCAGGAGGAACCAGTACTAGACAAGGACATCATGCTGGGTAAAGTAGAATGGTCATCAAAAAAAGATGAAGACCCTCGATGAGGTGGACTGACACACTGGCTGCAACAATGGGCTCAAACACAGCAATGTTTTGTTCTGTTGTACACAGGGTCGCTATGAGTCAGAAGTGACTCGATGGCACCTAACAACAACAACAAATAAAAAGAGTAATCAATAAAATGAGGGAAACACAAATTACCAGTATTAGGAATGAAAGAGAGGATATCACTACAGATCCTACAGTAACTGAAAGGACAATAAAAGACTGCTATGTACAATCTTATGCCAATATATTAAACAACTTAGATGAAATGGACATTTATCTTAAAAATACTACTCATCAAATTGACACAAGATGAGAAACAGAAATCTGAAACGTCCTATGACTATGAAAGAAATTAAACTTGTTATTAAAAGTCCCTTCACAAAGAAAACTACAGGTTCACATTGTTTTATTGACAAAATACTATTAAGCATTTAACAGACAATATTCTTTAACTCTTAGAAAACAAAGGCAGAAGAAATACTTCCCAATTAATTCTATGAGATTACCATAACCCTAACAACACTTGAAATGGAAAAAATATGAACATAGTCATAAAAATTCTTTCAGTGTATTAGCAAACCCAATCCAGCCATATATAAACAGGATAATAAAAGATGACCAAAGGGGTTTATGTCCAGTATATATGGTTGTTTAATAATCAAAAATCAACCAATCATATTAAAACAATAAAAAGAAAATCACATGATCTTTTCAGGATACAGAAAAATAATCTGACAAAAATAAACACCAATTCGTTACAAAAAGTCTTAGCAAATTAGAAATAAAGGTGAACTTACTCAATCTAATAAGAGTACACACTTAAAAAAACCTACAGCTAGCATATTTGATGGTACTTAAGAGAACATTTTCTCTTAAGATTGGGAACAAAACAAGAATGTCTGCTCTTGCAGTAAGTCAAAAAAAATAAATAACAGGTGGAAATAATAAAAGAAAGAATTAAAACTGTTATTAGTGAGATGATTATAGATTTCGTAGTATATTCTATGCAAACAAATACAGAATAAGCAAATTAAGAAATTTTGCATGATTTGTTTCAAGACACAAGATGCAAGACACAAGTCTCAATGTATAAAAATCAACTGTAGATTTATATTTTAGCAGCAAACTTTTGGATAATAATTTAACTGTATTTTTATATCATCAAAACCATAAAATACTTGGGAAAAACATTAACAAATGACATACAAGATGAATTCTACCCTGAAACAACAAAGCACTGCGGAGAGAAATTGAAGACTTAAATAAATGAAAAGGCCATACTCATACATAGGAAAACTCAATACATTTAAGATATCAATTACATAAAATCTATATAATCCCAATATGTATATTTATAGAAATTGACTAGCTTCTTCTCACTTTTATGTGGAAACTCAAAGGATCTGGAATACCTAGAACAAATTTTGAAAAGAATACAGGTGCAATACTTATACTACGTAATTTCAAAAGACTTACACCAAAGCTATAGTAATCAAGACAGTGTCATACTTGCATACAGACAGACAAATTGATCAATGGAAGTCCAGAAAAAGACCCAAATTCTATGGTCATATTGTTTGTGACAAAGGCGTGCATCAAAGCAATTCAAGAGGGCTAAAAAATACTCTTCAACAGATGGTGCTGAACACCTAGATACTTATTTGGAAAAATAATAATAATAATGCTGGACTCTCACAACTCACATCATTTTAATTTGAGATAGGTTGCAGACCTAAACGTAAAAAATAAAACTATGAACGTTCTACAAAAAAAATATTAGTATCTTCATGACCTAGGAGTAGGTAAAGATGTCCTGGACAGTACACAAAAACCACTGATCTTAAAAACACTGATAAATTAGACTTCATCTAAATTAAAAACTTTTTACTCTTAGAAAAACACCTTTAGGAAATGAAAATGCAAGACACAGAAAGGGAGAAATATTTACTATACATATATCTGACAAAGGACTTATATTCAGAATACATATATTTAAAAAATACTCCTACAACTCAATAATAAAAAGACGAACAACCCAATTTAAAAATAGGTCAACAGTGTAAAAAGCCATTTTACAAATTAAGATATATAAATGGCCAATAAGCACATGAAAAGGAGCTCAACACATCATTAATTATCAGAAAAATGCAAATTAAAGCTACGATTAGATATCACTAAATATCCACTAGGATGGCTAAAATTAAAAAGAATGATAAGATCAAATTTTGGAATGGAGGCAGAGCAACTAGAACTCTCACACACTGCTGGTAGGAATGTAAAATGGTATGACCACTTTGGAAAATGGTTTCTCAGTATCTTTTAAAATTAAAAATAGACCTACTATATATAATACCAGCATACGTATTTGACCACCAGAAATGAAAAAATATATTCACATATACTCCAATGTTCCTAACAGGTTTATTTATATTAGCCCAAAACTGAAAACCTAAATTTCCATCTAAAGAAAAATGTATAAACAAAATGCAGTATAATATGGAATAATTCTATACGATTAAATACTACTCAGTAATAAAAAAGAACGAGTTATTGATACTTTCAACAACATGGATGAATCGCACAAACATGCTGAGCAACAGAAGTCAGTCACCAAAGAGTTCATTCTACACAATCGAATTTATATGAAGTTTTAGATCAAACTAATTTACAGTGAAAAAAACATCAGAAGAGTAATTAGCCTCTAACAGGAAGAGACTGACTGGGAAGTGGAAAGAGGGAATTTGCTGTACTGATAGATATGATCTATACTGATAAATGTGTAAGTTACATAGATGTAGGTATTTGTCAAAACTCGACAAATTGTATTCAGTATTCATGCATTTCACTATATGTAAATGTTATCTTAAAAAAAAAAAAGGGAAACGTACTGAACCCCTGTAATAGTTTGCTTTTTACAGAAATATGGGTTAGCAATTCTGAAACTACTTTCTGTGTGTTTGGGCTTGAGCAAAAAAGTAAATATATCGAGGGAAATAGGGACCAGGTTCTCACTGCTAGAGAAGAGAGTTATAATATGGTAATGCAGGAAAGGATGAACCCTGAGGTGCTGAACTAAAATTTAGGTAAGCTCATTATTCATATTGATAGTTAAATACAAAATAAATTAAATACAAAAATAATTATAGATACACGCACATATTTGAGTGTGTGAATGTGGGCAAGTGTGAACATGGGCGGGTATGAGGCTATGCAAGTATCTCTCCTAGCTCTGTCCTCCAAAGTAGTCTAGAAGCAATGATACAAAAAGTTGAGCTGCAGGATAGATCTTTGTTTCCAAATAATGTCCTTCACTAAAAGGAAGGAGGGAATCTTGAAGAAATAGCTGATTCCAGAGTTAGGAAACCGAAAGGATGAGATGAGTTGGGAACATATCTTTGTGCCAAAAAGTAAGAAAGCACTCAAAAAAACGATGGCAACATGTTGAAAGGACACAGGAACCAAGTAGAAGGCCTCCTACTGGCCAAATCTGGGAAAATCTGAGCATCAAAACAAATAATAGTAACAGATTTATACTCTATTAATAAAAATCCATTACTAAACGCAATGCAAGTTCCTGGACTGGATTATGAACCAAAATGAGCTATAAAGGACATTGACACAATCGATGGAATTTAAATATAGTCTGTGGATTAGATATTATCAATGATAAACTCCCTAATTTTGATCACTATACTGTGTTTATGTAAGAGAATGTCCTTGTTCTTAGGAAACACACAATGAAGTATAGGGGGGTAAAGGTGCATGTCTCCAACTCATCCTTAAATGGTTCAGAGAAAAGATATGTATTATCTATATGACTATATACATAAAGAGAATGATAAAGCAAACGGGGGAAAACATAAAATAATTGCTAAATCTGAGAAAGGGGTATAAAGGAGTTCCTCGAAATTTCTTGCAACTTTTTTTTATAAGTTTGAAAATATATCAAAAGAAAGTAATAAAAAAATACGTAAAGTACAATTAGAGTGCCTGCCCTCAAACACTTACCATGGAAAAGGATCAGCGGTAAGCACACAAGGGACAATCAATGTTAAGAATGGGCACATTCATTATTTTCAAAGACTATTAAAAAGTGAAACGCATCTCTTTCACTTAACATTTATATGTTTCCATTTATTTTCAGGTTCCCTCTCCTGTATAAGAAACTCCCTATCCTCCCCAGGCTTCAGCAATCACTCCCTTTTATGAACTCCTGTTGTACTTGTTTATAATCTTTGGGCTGTATCATATGTTATTTTGAATTGTTTTCTTTTTACATATGTATTACATTTGCCTAACTGGACTGTAAGCTTTGTGAGGGCAAGAATCACTTCGTATCCCACTTGGTATCTTTGGTAGCTGAATTACACGCTTACTAATGCTTAATAATTAGCTGTTGATATTCATATGATGTTTTAGCTACCTGTTTAATAGATAGAACTCTATAGAATGACTTCTACTGAAAATGCTACCTGAAGTTTTCTTCCTGTAATTGTTCTAGTTGTAATTGTGCATGAAAATACTTTTTTGCAACCATTGTATTTGGATCATCAAAAGAGCCATCCAACTGGTCGAGTTTTTCATTCATCATCTCATTCTCAGATACCAGTGAATTCTTTTCATCTTGAAGTGCAGTCACCTAAAGAACAAATACACAAGTATAAGCATCAATAGCATAAAAGCTATTCAGAGTCTAATTCTCACCAAGTCATTAAGCAGCTTGGTCAATCAGATTTGATGATTTCTAAAGATACTTCTAATTCTGGAATTCTGAATCCACGAGGTTTGAATCAAACAAAAGAAATAAAATCAAAAGTAATACATATATGAACAAAACACATCTTCAAAATGTTAGGTCTGAGTTTTAGGAAAAAGGTTATTTCTAAGCTTCTTAAATTTGACATACTAATGAACTTCAAAAATTTCATTTGTTCCCCTTTTATGTATAAACTTTCTAATTTTGGGGATGTTGTTATATAGCAGGAGCCCAGGGGGCGCAGTGGTTAAGAGCTCGGCTGCTAACCAAAAGGTTGGCAGTTTGAATCCACCAGCTGCTCCTTGGAAACTCTATGGGGGAGTTCTACTCTGTCCCACAGGGTCATTATGAGTCGGAATAGATTCAACAGCAACAGGTTTGGTCATATAACTCCAAAGAGAGGCTGGTGAATTTGAACTGCCGACCTTTTGGTTAGCAGCCTAACACTTAACCACTGTGCCACCAGGGCTCCTTGCAAAATACACACACATATGCACAAAGTTATCATTTCTGGTTCACAGTAGAAAATTCTCAGTCATACATCACATATTCAGGGGACAATCCCTTTTGGTTAATTAATCAATAACAAAAAGCTGTACTGTATCCATTTGCACAGACTGCTTATCATTTAAAATGCGAACAAATGTGCGACTTTACAACCATATCAAATGCCAACACCTGACAGATTTCTTTTACTCATACTTTTAAAACAAGCATGATTCCCTTGCCTCTATTTCTTTCCATTTAAAAACATCCTTAAAATTCTACAGCTAAGGCTGTGACATTTCATGAGACCAGAAGTTTACATATGATTTTAACATGAATTAGTTTGATTAAAAAAGATGACTATCATTACTTCCAAATACATTACTGGACAAGTTTGCTATTTATATTTTCAACAGGTGCAATTAGATCATTCCAGTTAAGAAACACATATTGACAAAGTGAGCTAATAACGGGCAATTAAAATCAAGTTACCAACACTGTCCTCAAAGTGAAGAATACAAACAAAGGCTGGGGAACCTGGCCCTAGGCAGACATGAGGAAACGACTTTCTGTTCCTAAATTCAAGGCATGCATCGATCTCCTCATGCAAGCAAGTTAGTGACTATTACCTGTCATGTACAATCCTAAGTGTACAATCCTTACATTTTAGAAACATTGATTACCCAGCCCTATTATTTTACATATTTACCACGTCCAGCCAGGACAATGCTACCACAACCCTACTTCCTTGCCCTCACGCTTTCAGAAAGTCAACTATTTATTTAGTTCATTATTTAGAGGGGGTGAAAAAAAAAGCAATTTACATACAGCATATAATGAAGGTCATTTAATCTTTTCAGTACCTTTTTCAAGACTTATTGTACAACCTTCACATTTGTACTTTCATATAACAACAGTAACAACAGATACAAATGCATTCACAGTGCTTCTGTGCCAGGCCCTCCTCTGAGTGCTTTACTATATATTAACTCATTCAATCCTTACAACCACTCTAAAAGACATACACTATTATCACTCCATTTCTCAAAAGAAAAAACTGAAGTAAATTTACTGAAGTAAATTTTCCTAAGAGTATACAACCAACTAGTAACAAGGTCTGGCTCTTAATATAGGTATCCTGGTCAACAGTCCACCCACCCTTTAACCACTAACTGCTGTCTGTTGTGCCAAGTTTGTTTGTGTATGAACATGTGTGAATATATAATGCAATGCAATGTAATATACATACACACAGAATGCACATGCATATACCGGGTGTCAGGCACTTCTACATGCTTCTATAAACTACCTCATTTAATATTCACAAACACCCTAAGAAGTAAATTTTCCCGTTTTACAAAAGAGAAAATGAAGGCTTCATCTAGCAGTTGAAATTCTACAATTAGAAAGATTTTCTCAATTGTTCTTTTTGAGGGCAAGAAAATAGACCAGCAATTTTCAACTCTCAGAGAAAAATAATTATAATACTCATGCTCGAATATTTAAACCTAGAACAAATCCTTTTAATGATCCCTCCATGGAATGAAACCCAGTTTCCAAAACACTATGTCAATGAGTAAATTAAAATAAAAAACTTTTACTAATGTAAAAAGATGTTTTTTCAGACTAGGTTTCTTTTCCATACCTGCATATCTAGTTCTTGGCATCTTTGCCTCAGCTCTTCTTTTTCTGCTAGTGCTTCCTGAAGTTCTTCCAAGGCCCTTTTAAGCTGAAATATAAAATGTCCCAATTCTTAGTAAATCATGTTTTGACACAAATAGAAAAATATACTTGTCTCACAACACACACATACACTGATACTGGAAATGAATTTTAAATTTACCTATTATCAAATCTGTCATCTTTGTGTGAACAGTATTTACGCAGCTTCATTAACATTTATGGGTAAGGTACCACAGAAAAAAATTTCATGTAAATCCTTGAGAAATATTTAGCCAAAACAGTAGTAGCAGAAGCACTGTTCTGCTTCAACACAGAAAAAAATGAGAAAGAACACAGCATGTTTTAACTTAAACAAACTCTGTATTGAAAAAAATTTTTTTTTTCTATTTTGTGGTGGTTGTTGAGAATATAAACAGCAAAATATACATCAATTCATCCATTTCTACATGAACAACTCAGTGACACTGATTACCATCTTTGAGGTGTGCAATCATTTTCACCCTCCTTTTCTGAGATGTTCCTTCCCCACTAACATAAACTCACTGCCTCCTAAGATTCCTATCTAATCTTTCAAGTTGCGCTGTCACTTTGATCCCATGTAAAGTTCTTAAAAGAGCACAATGCTCAAGGCAGACATTCTTTACTAGTTAAGCTAAACTACTGTTTGGTTTTAAGAAGACTTCTGGGGATATTTTTGGTTTAAGTTTAAAGATTATCTCAGGGGAATAGCTTCAGAGGTTCATCTATCCTCCATGGTTCCAGAAAGTCTGGTGTCCATGAGAATTTCAAATCCTATTCTACATTTTTCCCCTTGTGATCAGGATTCTTCTATATAATCTTTGATCAAAATGTTCAGTAAGGGTATCCAGGCACCATTCAGTTTCTTCTGGTCCCAGGTCAAAGGAGGTAGTTGTTCAAGGAGGCAATTAGCCATGCATTCTATATCCTCCTCCCACTCCTGACTCTCCGTCTTCCTTCGTTGCTCCAGGCAAATACAGACCAATTGTGCCCTGGATGGCCACCTGCAAGCTTTTAAGACCCCAGGCACTATGCAAAAAACTAGGAGATAGAACAAAAGCACTGAACATGTTATAAGGCCAATTAAGCGAGATGTCTCATGAAACCATGACCCTAAACCTCTAAACAAAGGAACCAAATCCCAAGAGGTTTTTGGTTGTACATAAGTAGCCTCAGCAACTACTTTTTGCTGTTGTTGTTGTTGTAAATATATCTATCACACAACTTTTGCCAATTCAACTTTTTACAGGTATACAGCTTACCGACAGCAATTACAATAACCGGCTGTGCAACCCTACCCTTAATCAATGCAATTTTTTTAACTTGAAATATTTTTTGAGATGACTAGTGACACTCATGAAGAAACAGATGTCCGAAAATATTTATAACAGGAACAGTACTTGAGGCATTTATCTCTCCTCTTACCCTTTCTCCTACACCCCAGGTTAAATTATACAAGAGGAATGCTTTTTCCCCCATGTCAAACAGTAATGTAATATAACCAGGGAAGGAGTCTTGAATACAGGTCTTTGAGTTATTTCTTCAACATCAAGAGAAATGATAGCTATCGTGACAAAAATTATGTTATCTCATTGGATAAACTAAAGTTTAGCTTAAGTTTTTGTTTCTTTTTTTAAATTGCTACTGTTTAATTACATAACCACATGTTGTTGTTCATAGGCGCCATCAAGCCAGTTCTGACTCATAGCAACCCTATGTACAACAGAACAAAACAATGCCCGGTCCTGTGCCATCCTCACAATTGCTGCTATGTTTGAGCCCATTGCTGCAGCTACTATGTCAATCCATCTCGTTGAGGGTCTTCCTATTTTTCGCTGACCACACAGCACAGGCCAAATATGTGTTACAAGAGATAGAAAGTTCAATTACACTCAACTCTTCCACCGTGAACACAAAATATCTGGGGACTATACCACTGGCATTCATGAAGGAATGCATTTTAACATTCAACTGGGATGACAGAACAGAATAAACAATTTAAAATTCATGGAAGAAAATGTTCTTTTAGATGATCATCTATGTAAACTCTATGATAATAATTGGCAAAGAACTATATCACTGTTTTCAACATTTTCCTGACATACCAAAATACTCACCTGTTGCTCTAATTCCCCAACAGCATCATTTGTAGAAGAGTTCAACATTTCTTTATTCATCAACTAGGAAAATAAAATAGTAAAATTAAGTACAAATAGTATAATGTGTATGCAAGAAAAATATATTTACTTGAATGGGCAATAAAATCATCTATATTTAGTTTTTCCATGCTTTAACCAGATGACTCTTAGAATTCAAATAAATATTTTATCAGAAGTTTAAGCTAAATAATAGAATGTTAAAACTTTGTACTGGTGAAGACATTCTAAGTAAAAAATGCTTTAATATGTAGACAGATTTGAAATACTTTTTGGACTGAAAATTACAACCCAAGTTCTAAAAAATAAATTACTAAATAAAACTGAATGTTTTAAATTAAAAAAAAAAAAGACTGTCTCACATAATATATAAATTAACACTTTTAAAATAGAGCCTTAAAATGACTGATATGGCAAAATTTCTAATTTGAGAAGTCACTTTAAAAGTAGGAGTTATAACTACATGGAAAAAAAAAAAAAAAAATCCTATAAAATAACCTTTTTTTGCATATGAACCAAACCAAAAACCAAACCCCTTGTTGTTAAGTCCATTCTGACTCTCAGCAACCCTACAGGACAGAGTAGAACTGCCCCATAGGATTTCCCTCGAGCAGCTGGTAAATCTGAACTGCAGCTCTTTTGGTTAGTGGCTGTGTTCTTAACCACTGTGCCACCAGAGCTCCATTTTTTTGCATATGAAAGGCAGATTTATTTATGTGTGATACTCTGAATCCAAACCAACAATGCAAATGCCAAACATACAGACTGCTGAAGTCCTGTATGTCTCCCTCCAAACCATGCCCAGTCCAAACTTTTTTCTCAGTAATCCTTCACAACACTTCATCTCAGCCTTTTACCCTGAATTTAAGAATCAACCCTCTGAATCACAAATTCTTAATTCTTCTCGCTTAACTAGGATAAGTGGATTGGCTTCAATCTGGGTAACCTGCTCCAAAATCCAAATGCCTGCATATCTGCTCACAGATCTAACATCCTGAAATGCATTTGGTATATATATAAGCTTTGTAATCTCAGAAAAGATTGCTCTAACTAAAACAAAAAAAACGAGAAGAAATGGAAACTCCCATCTGGGCGGAGGTTGTTTATCCTGCTTAGTTGAAGTTATTTAAAGGAACTTAACAATATTAGTTTATCAACTACCTTTTAAAATGTAGAGATATTAAAACTGGGTTTGAAGGCCTTTTAAGATATTTTGAGAAAAGACGACACCCTTGCTAAAGGTAAGGAAACTTGCTGCAAAGGGCAAGTTTATACAAACAGAAAAATACACATTCATAAAATCTGCAAGAAGTTTTCTATAATTTGGTTTAGACTTTTCATGCATATGTGAACATGATATAACTTACCTCTTGGATAGCAGTCATGACCACATGCTGAACAGACTCTTCCAATGTCATTATATTTTGAATATGTTCTATGATTTAAAAAAAATCAGATATGAAAAAAATCTACTCATTACCCATAGTACCTTGGACATCCAACTAACAGAATCCAAAATTAATTTACCACAGATAATCCTTTACGCAAACAGATTATTTTTCCACTAAAACAAATATATCTACTTAAAACAAATAAGCAGTATACAAAATACTCACATAAACATTAAAAAATGTTTATGTTAAAACATTTTTTAATGTTTTCTTTTTTCTTAAAGAAGAAAACCTCTAATAGCAACCTTAAAACAATTACAAATTTCTTGCCTTCTGTTAAATATTCAGTATTACTGGATGAATTCGTAAGTATTAAGTGAACCCCTAAAATCATAGGCCCAGAAAGTTACATTTTACCACCTACTTAGTTCATTCCAGAAAGGCTTTCAAAGAAGGGAATTATATGGCCTCCTGAAAATACCTGCTAGCCATTCACTAAGTCTCACTGCAAGGAGTTCCTTCCAGCATACCACAAACACACATGCAGTAAGTTACAGTGATTCAGTCCCAATAAGAAATGAGAAATCATGAGAAAAAGTCCTTCATAGATATGAAGATTTAATCCACGTGAACTGTATGTTCTCCAGCTAAACAAATTTCCAAACGTTTTAAGGGCTTATCATTTTTCAATGCGTTTTTATTTTAATGATTCTTCTAGGAAACCTCTAAAAGTTCTCTAAGTCCTCCATTTAGTTGTAAAGCCAAGAACTGGGCAAAGATTCCGATCGATTCTCGTGTGCACCTGACCACTAAGTGTTATGAAAAAGAAACAAGAACTAGAGAAGGCACTGGCAATTACATGGTTTAAATGTATTTTCTGAGTAATAAAAGTGTTTCAAGTTTGCTAAAACCTTCCTAAAAATAATCATTTTTTTCACCAAAATAAACACAGTACTGTTAACCAAACCAATTCATTCTTTAAAGACTGAAATTGTTGCAGTACTTTGATTCATCTTCAGAATCAATTCTTACTTAAAAATACAAAGGTGTGAAAATTCATTATATCCTGGATTTGTTTTCTTTTTAAATTTTAACTAAATAAATTAAACTAAAAATTCTTTTTCACTTATCTGCTCCCTCCTAAAAATTAAGAAAATACACAATACCTCCAAAAATAAATCCAATGAGATAACTGTTTTTTTAAAATAACAAAAATGAAAGTTCCTTATATGTACCACTTGCTAAATTTTTACTTATATATCCAGAAACTCAATTTCCTTTTAAAAAATATGACAACAAAATTGCTAAGTAATGCTTAAAACTAAACTATAAAAATACAATATATCATATCAAAACTTACAGGATGCAACAAAAGCATCACTTTCAAGGAAAATTGTAATTTAAAATGTCACAGTACAAAAGAGGAGAGGCTAAACATTAATGAACTATGTGTCCAAATTAAGATGACAGAATAAGAACAATTCATTAGTTCATAAGAAAATAGAAGGAATGAGGTACAGAATAGGAACAGAAATTAAATAATGGGGAAAAAAAGACTCAAAGTCAAAAGTTGGTTCTATGAAAAATACCCACCATGTGTTTGTCAGTTTGTCACACTGTGGTGGCCTGTGTGTTGCTGTGACATTGGAAGCTCTGCCACTGATATTTCAAATACCAGCAGGGTCACCCTTGGTGGACAGGTTTTAGCGGGGCTTCCTGACCAAGACAGGCTAGGAAGAAGGACCTGGCAGTCTATTTCTGAAAAAAACTGGCTAGTAAAAACCTTATGGATAGCACTGGAATGACATCAAGGACATCATACATGAAAAAAGCAAGAGGTCATTAAAAAGACAGGAAAGAAAGAAAAGACCAAAACGAATGTTAGAAGACTCTGAAAGTTGCTCTAATGTCAAGTAGCTAAAGCCAAAGGAAGAAAAGAAGTAAAAGAGCTGAACAGAAGATTTCAAAGGGCAGTTCAAGAAGATATTCTAATGAAATGTGCAAAGACCTGGAGATAGAAAACCAAAAGGGAGAACACACTCGGTATTTGTCAAGGTGAAAGAACTGAAGAAAAAATTCAAGCCTCGAGTTGTAATACTGAAGGATTCTACGGGGAAAATATTAAATGACACAGGAAGAATCAAAAGAAGATGGAAGGAATACACAGAGTCACTGTACCAGAAAGAACTGGTCGATGCTCAACCATTTCAGGAGGTAGCATATAATGAAGAACTCATGGTACTGAAGGAAGAGGTCTAAACTGCACTGTAGGAAGTGTTGGAAAAACAAAGCTCCAGGAATGGTGGAATACCAATGAGATGTTTCAACAAACATCGCTGGAAGCGCTCACTCATCTATGGCAAGAAATTTGGAAGATAGCTACTTAGCCAACTGGCTGGAAGAGATCCATATCTGTACCCATTCCAAAGAAAGGTGATGCAACAGAACGTGGAAATTATCAAACAATATCATTAATATCACACGCAAGTAAAATTTTGCTGAAGATCATTCAAAAGTGGTGGCAGCAGTGCATCAACAGGGAACTGCCAGAAACTTAAGTCGGATTCAGAAGAGGACATGGAACAAGGGATATCACTGCTAAAGTCAGATGGATCTTGGCTGAAAGAAGAGAATACCAGAAAGATGTTTACCTGTGTCTCACTGACTATGCAAAGGCATTCAACTGTGTGAATCATAACAAATTATGGATAATACTGTGAAGAATGGGAATTCCAGAACACTTAATTGTGCTCATAAGGAAAACTATACTTAGACCAAGAGGCAGTTGTTCGAACAGAACAAGGGGATACTGTGTGGTTTAAAGTAAGGAAAGGTGTAGTCAGGTTGTATCCTTTTACATACTTATTCAATCTGTATGCTGAGCAAATAATCTGAGAAGCTGGAGTATATGAAGAAGAACCGGGCATCAGGATTGGAGAAAGACCCATTAACAACATGCAACATGCAGATGACATAACCTTGCTTGCTAAAAGTGAAGATGACTTGAAGCACTTATTGCTGAGATCAAAGACCACAGCCTTCAGTATGGATTACACCTCAACATAAAGAAAACAAAAATCTTCACAACTGGACCAACGAGAAACATCATGATCAATGGAGAAAAGACTGAAGTTGTCAAGGACTTCATTTTACTTGGATCCACAATCAATGCCCATGGAAGCAGCAGTCAAGAAATCAAAGGACACATCGCACTGGGTAAATCTGTTGTAAAAGATCTCTTTGAAGTGTTAAAAAGCAAAGATATCACTTTAAGGACTAAGGTGTGCCTGACCCAAGTCATGGTGTTTTCAATCGCCTCATATGCATGTGATGATGGACAATTAATAAGGAAGACCGAAGAAGAATTGATGCCTCTCAATTATGGTGTTGGTAAAGAATACTGACTATACCATGGACTGCCAGAAGAACGAATAAATCCATCTTGGAAGACATAGAACCAGAATGGTCATTAGAAGCAAAGATGGCGAGACTTCGTCTCACATACTTTGGACATGTTATCAGGAGGGACCAGTCCCTGTAGAAGAACATCATACCTGCTAAAGGAGAGGAGCAGTGAAAAAGAGGAAGACCCTCGATAAGATGGACTGACACAGTGGCTGCAACAATGGGCTCAAACATAGTAATGATTGTGAGGATAGCACAGGACCGGGCAGTGTTTCATACTGTTGAACCCAGGGTCACTATGAGTCAGAATTGACTCGACAGCACCTAACAGCAACAACAACATGAAAAATAACTAATACAACTGACAGACCTGGTAAGATTCATCAAGCAAAAAGAAGGTACAAATCACCAGTAATCAAAATAGAAAAATAATAAAGATCACAATTCTAACAGAAAATTACTAGATTTACAAATGAATCAGTAGTTGAAATTCATGATAAAACATTTAAGGAAGTCTAAGCTTTTCACGAACAAAGGTCCCTCACTTTTATGAAAACTGCAGTATGTAGATATTTCACATCATGAGTGAGAAATAAAAGCTTATGAGGAAGTACTGACTTATCCTACAAAAAAAGTAATAATAATGAGAGAAATAGACTTATATAATATATTCTGATACCCAACCCTTTCCTGTTTAATTAACTATAAGTGATTTCATATATTTTATTTTTCCTCTCTGAATTTGTTCTTACTGAATTTACCCTGTCTCATATACTTCCCTAATTAATTAGATAAAGTTAAATGTGTTTTCTAAGGTGCTAAATAGAAGTATCTGCAAATTTAAGCACCAAACATTCTGTTATAAAGGTGACATACTAAGACCAAGTTTGGATAAATCATGAATCTAAACATCAGTGTTAAAAATCTCACCACCCAGACTGATGTAAGCACCTGAGGTAAGTAGATGGAGGTCTGTTCAATTATTTTATTCTTCATATATTACCAAAATAATCTTTTTGTACTCAGCAAGATATGAATCACTATGTTTGGGTAGACCAATATAATGAAACAATTCCATCTATATCATCAGACTGGTTATCTGGAGTACAAATTTGACAGACATTCTTCTGAAAAAAGCAGAATATCATCTGAAGAAGGCTGTGTTATAATTCAGGAACTGCATTCTTTTTTTAAAAAAACTGGAACAATCTAAAGTTCTATCTCAAAAGTGAAATAATGAATCAAATCAGTAAGTAAAATGTATTGAGTATCCACTATGTTCTAAGCACTAAATGTATTAAAGTGAGTTATAAAGTAAAATGCATGTAAATTAGCCACTGAGTAGGAAACTTGGAATCTAGATACAAATGAGATACTCAAGATAGTAAGGTTTTATTAATGGCAGAGCTGGGCTAAAATTCAGATCTCCTGGCTTACATTCCAGAGTACTTCTGCCAAGCTGTAATAGTAAATTTTCTCTTCTTTGTATAAGGTTGCTTCTAGAATCTCAAATGACTGAAATTCACTTACCTTGTTTCTTCTCACAGTTGACTGCACAACCTAAAATAAGCTGGAGCAATCTCCCAAGTTCTACAGAATCTGAACATTCAGTTATTTGGTTTAAATCAGGGATAAGTTCTTCAGAAATCTGCTGCCCCAAAAACTGCAATAACAAACAAGTCAGGATCACTCAGTTATGCAGGTTACAAAGAAATAACTACAGTCATGTGTCGCTTAACATCCATGATACGTTCTGTGAAATAGGAGATTACGTGATTTGGATGTTGTGTGAGCACCGTATTATACACACAGGCAGTGCCGCGTTATGAATGTCTGACTTACTTACAACCCGTAGTTATGAACTAATCCCCATAAAACCTATTATATATTAAAAATTCAAGGTACATACAGTAGTTCATAACAACACACGGGCACTACTTTGTAATGCACATCAACACATTATTATTATTATTACTATATTATTATGTTAAAGATGTTTTAGTGTATCTGGAATGTTTCTTCAATATTTTTTACGCATAAAAAGGTACACTATATATAACCTTATGGGACCTCAGATGTATCTGCGGTCGGACATCGCCCGAACAGACATTTACAGCATATGACTGTACATTGGATTATCACAAGGGGAATAAACTATAAATAGGTTCAAGAAAAGACTCAGATAAACTAACAATGATAAATCCATGATTACTGATTAAAACCAGTTAGCAATCTTCTGTCAACCTCCCAAAATCTTGAGTAAACAACCAAAAGCAACTAAAACAGTTTTTAACCAAGTATCATTTGATGACACTGTCAAAGAGAATTATTTAATTGAGGGAAGGAGCCTCTGGCCTGATCTACTAGGACAAAATTTAAGATTATCCATTAAATAAAGAAAGGTTTATGTTAAATCAAAGGACAGCCATAATATCTGGAAATATAATCAACTGCTAGAGAACTACAATATAAATTGTCACACTTTTACTAATGAACAAATAATCTAATGGATTAATCTTTCCTGGTCTCATACTTCACATTTTTAACTTATTAAAAAGGTTTGTTGGCATTTAAAAAAGCTTCAAAATGCATTTTATACATTAATGAATTGAAAATTTTCAGAGTTCCCTTAAAATTTTTTGGAATAAATTACAGGTTAAATTGTGTGACAACTTTAAAAAATAAAGTATTTCATAGCAAAACCAAACCAAAAAGGTTTCAATCATTAAACAATAAGCTGCCTGACAAAGAGTCTTCTTACATCAAATAACTCTTCCAGACTATTGTTCATGATACTGAAGAAGAAAAAACAAACTACCTCAGTAACGTACTATCTAATGTGACTTTAATACTACTTTCATTTAGCTATTTTTTTAATTCACTTGCACAAACAAAATCTTACAATATACCTTTGCTATTGTTTACTTGGGAAACAGATGTCAAAATAAGAGAATGATTTAAATAAAAAATTAATTTAATAACAAAGTCTACTTTATACTATTGTATAAAATCAAATCATCTAAAAATGAAGGTAAACCCTATTTGAGAAAATAATTTTAAGAGTATGTGTGTATATGTAAGCTTACATACATATACATGCAATGTTAGTTTACAAATCAATATATTTAAAAAATTTGAATATTCTAAAAATGGCAACAGTAATACTTTCTGATACAGTAAAATGTTATAAACAAAAAGCCAAGTCAATTTTCAGTGTCAATGTAGTTATCATAAAGCATTTTGTATTTAGATAGTCATACCTCATGATAATAACTCATGATTCCTTGAAGGACCTTCTTTAAATTACTAGCCTAATGAGGGAAAAAAAAGAATAAGAAATAAATCCTTGTTTGCTATTAATAATGAAAGAAAATTTACACCAAAGTAAAATATAATAAAAAATTTTCCCTGATTAAAAAAATGAAATAAAAACTTAACATTAGAATTTTACAAATATAGGTACATGGTATTTTTTAAACATCAGAGATTTAATCAGAGGTGGACTGAAAATAAAAAAGTCTTCATGCTTACATATTTTAACTAGGGTGCTTCTATTTAAAGTGAGTCACAATGAATTCAAGTGTCCACTTTAAAGATTTAGTTATGAGCATGTCTACCTCCAGTCATGAGCAACTAACAGGGTCTAGACTCACTCTCCTACCACAACTAACCAGAAAACAGGACAAAATACAAGGAACAACCGTTTTCAAACTTTAGTCAACAAAAAATACAGAATTCTACTTTGAGAAAAGGAAAGCAAAAAAGATAGGCCCTACACTAGTCCCAGCTTTCTGTCTGGAAACAGTTTTCAGACTGTGGAACAGGGAGGTTGAAACTAATAAGCAAAGCCTGATGTTCTCGTTGAGTTGAGGACACAGATATGAAAAGTTTCAGGAGCTCAAGGAAGCTAGAATTTGCAGGAGAGACACGTGAGGAGGTGAGAACTGCAGAGAGAAAGAATTCGAGATATCTGCATAATGGTTCCTTTGAGTCTTTGGCTAAACATCAATTTGCATGCATATGGGTAAAACTCAACAAGATTGAACAAAAAAATAATTTACAAGAAAAGAAAAATTCCTGGGGGAGTTCCGGCAAAATGGTGCTCTAGGCAGAAGCACCACGCCGTCCCTCCACAGCAAAGATCCGAAAAACTAAGCCATACAGAGAATACAACAATCCTGAAACCCTAAAACATCAAATGAAGAGACAAAGAACTCAGCCAAGCACCAAATGGAGTGAGAAAACTGACAGAGAACGGAGAGAGAGGAGAGATTCATGCAGAGGTCCCCTACCAGCTAATACAGCGCGGATCCACCATCTTGGACTCCTATCGGAGACCAGAAAACAGGGGTACGAGAAAGCAGCCTCACGGAGCATCCAGCGGGAGACAAAACAGCCGGTAATTTGCAGTGCGCTTTCCCACCCCCCACCCCTCTTCGCCCTGGCTCGGCCTCCTCTGCTTCCTGCGGCCACAGTCTCTTGACTGAGAAGCGCCGGCTGCTTGGATTCCACACACCCCCGCGGGCGGCTCTCTGGGTGCCATTTGTTGGCTGCTAGTGTTGCTTTTTTTTTTCTGCTTCTTTTCATTTCTTGCTTGCCTCTCGCCACCTCCCCCTCCTTTCACTCAAGTGCCTGGCTCTGTGCGCCATCTTTGCTTCTTCCTGAGGGGCTCCAGAGCGCCAGCAATTTGTGATATACGCTTT